ACCAAGCACCTTCCCAACTGGACTTCCCTTCTGGACTACAGTCTCTTCACCTGTACATGAGGTGATGAAAATTTTCAGTCTCCTGGAGTTAGGGTAAAGATTATATAAAGCAAAGTTCAGGGGGGTGCCTTACATGACCATCGTAAGCACTCCATATATGCTAGCTGTTCTTATTATCTCCTAGACTCTTTTGCCATCCTCTGCAGCCCCAGGCTCACTGCCATCTGGCAAGTATTTACTGACAGTGCAGTAGGCACCTGGTCAAGTGCAAGGGTCAGGAGATACAGCAGGGAATAAGTCCGACAAGACTCCTACACTTATGTCCCCAAAAGCCAATCAGGGAAAACACATGATAGAAAAGTGAACAAATGTATTCATTTATATATTGGTGGCTTTTGTTCATTTATTCAATAAACAATTGCTGAGTACGTACTAGACACAGGAGACAGACTGCAGTGAACCACGTAGAAATGGTCTCTGCCTACATGGAACTTACATTCTAGGGAGGGATGGGGACATCAAAAGATAAGCAGATAAACAGAAATATATTGTAACATAGTAAATATGTCAGGTCACAACTTACATACGTGCTCTAAAGAATATAAATGAGATGTGGGAGTCCTTCTTTCAATAGGGGAGTCAAGGAGACATTAATCCCAGCCCCTAAAATAGAGAAGGGAAAAGCATTCCAGGAAGAGAGAACAGTATGTATGTGTGAAGGCCATGAGTCAGGCCTTCTACTAGGCATTACACATGGATTATTTCATCACAACCACCCCGCCAGGGAGGTACAATTATTATCATTAATGGATAATTAGGCTCGAAGAGGAAGTGGGACTCTCAGCACATACATCCCTTAGCTCCCTAATGTGGCAGAACTGGGATTAGAACCAGGGTTCGCGTTACCACCGAAGCTCATGCCTCAGTCACGGTACTCTGTCCCTTTGTCCTCACTCTAGGAAAGACAAGCGTCAGCAAGAGAACGGGAGCAGGTGGCAGGCACGTCCAGAGGAGTGAGGGATATTCTGTTCCTGCAACCTGAGCCGCAGGCACAGCCAGCAGGATCAGGGCCACCTTGCAGGACCATTCTGTGGGGACAGTCCCTCCCTGGTCATAGAGCCAGATACCAGATTTCAGCTGTGATTATCTTGTCACTCACCACAGCCATGAAAGAATGCCATGGCTGGCTCTCCCTTCCCCCTTCCTGAGAGGGGAATCATAGAAGCTTGAGGACATGTGGGGGAGAGAGGGGTAGGGAAATAGGGAATAACAATGCAATAAAATTGCAAAATTTTTAATAATGTGCACTGTGTGTCAGGCACTGTTCTAAAGGCTTACAAGTATACTGACTTGTTTGATCTTCAAAATAATCTATAACATCATCCCCATTTTACAGATGAGGAAACTGAGGCCTAAAGGGTCTTAAAACTTACCCAAGATGATACAGCTAACAAGTGGCAGAGCTGGGATTTGAATCCAGGTGGCTGGCTCCTGAGCTCACTTTTTCAAAAACAAAACAAAACCTTTTTATTGTAAAATAAGACAAGCAGAAAAACATACAGCATGCACAACTCAGAGAATAAGGCAAATACCCTTATATGTCTAAACACATGGGGTAAGAAATAGAACTTTGCCTGATACACCCCTCTCTGTGCCCTCTCCTAATCACAACCCCTCCCTCCCCCTCTCTGAAAGCAACTGCTATTTGGACGTAGATAGGAATCATTTCCGTGTGTTTCTTTATGTTTCTTTTCACCCTAGATTCTGTGTAGTCAGGCCCATTTTTTTCTAACTTGATACCTCTTAAGCCTCTTTTAATCTACAAGTCCTCCCTCCATCTCTTAGTTTTTCCTGTAATTTATCAGTTGAAGGACTCAAGCCTGTGGAGCTTCCCAGTCTGATTTTGCTAATGGAATACTCGCAGTACACTCAACATGCTCCGCTGTCCTCTGGATTTCCTCCAATCGCCCACTGGCTCTAGACGCGTGATCAGACTCGAGTTTGATCCTTTTGGCAAGCCCCCAAGGGTTGTGTTCTTCTATCAGGGGCACGGGATGTCTGTTTTTCTCTGTCTTTTGATCATAATCATGCTCTTACCCACATTGCTACAGGGACATTTCCCGGCTGCCCTCGGCTGCCCTGTGATTTGCTCCACCCTCAAAACCTACCTGCCCCAAAGGTGAGCCTGTCATAGGCACCAAGGTTTCTGCTGCCTTGGGCCTGGTTCACACAAGAAGGCAGCCCCTCAGAGGTCGCCCCTGAGCCTCTCCGCACTCCAAGGCCTACAGGGATTGGGCCCTGCCTCCCTGACGAGCGTCATCTCTCTCTGCATCTCCCTTCTGGCCGTACACCAGGCAGATGGAATTCGGCCTCATTCCAGTCAGGGCACATACCTAGGTTGTGGATTCACTCCCCTGTCAGTCCGTGTCTAGGAGGCAACCGATTGAGTTTTCTTTCACTCAATCTCTCTCTCCCTCTCCCTTCCTCTCTCTAAAAACATATTCTCAGCCCTGGCCACTTTGGCTGAGCAGTTAGAGCCTCGGTCCTGGAACCAAAGGGTCGTGGGTTTGATTCTGGTCAAGGGCACATATCTAGGTTGTGGGTTTGATCCCTGGCCCGTCAGGGTCACGCGGGGGGCAACCAATCAATGTGTCTTTCTCACATTGATGTTTCTCTCTCCTTCCCTCCTTTCCACTGTCTCTAAAAATCAATGGAAAAATGTCCTCGGATAAGGATTAACAACAACAACAACAAAAATCCTCAGATGGGGATTAAAAAAGAAAAGAATTCCTGTCTGGGATATGTCCTTCTAGGAAAATGAGTCTTAGTCTTAGAAAATAACAGAACCCTTTCTTCAAACAATCTTACTAAGCACCCCTAAATATAAGACAAGTTCAAGAAAGGAGTTCTAGTTTCAGTATTGGTGGAGGCGGAAGCCCACCCAGCCCTTGTGCCGCCCCTTGTCCTGAGCTTGAGGGTTCCTCTGAACAGTGGCCTGGCTATGTGGTCAGGTTGCTTTATCAAAGCCACCATGTCTATTTAAAATAAATAAATTTTTTTCTTTATTGATTTGAGAGAGAGAGGAAAGGAGAGGGAGGGAGAGATAGATACATCGATGAGAGAGAACATCGACTGGCCGCCTTCTGCATGCCCCCCACCAGGGATCGGGCCCATACCCTGGGCATATGCCTTGACCAGGAATCAAACTGGCGACCTCTTGGTGCATGGGTCAACACTCAACCACTGAGCCACACCTGCCGGGTCCGTGTCTATTTTTTTTAAGAGGCCATACTAGAGACAGAAGGGTCCTGCCTGACACCCTAGCTCTACTCTTTCCCTATGGTGCCCCAGGGGCTCATCCTGTCGGCTAACAGAGATGCCCACAGAAGCCCTCTTTCCACAGATTGCTTCTCTGGCCCTCCAAAAACATTGCATTTCTAAAACAGTGCAGATCTGGGGTCTCTGGGCAAAGCTAAGTGGGCACCGGAGCTGGCAGGGCTGCAGGAGGCTGCAGGGCTCAGAGCCAACGGCTTAGTCTCACAAATGGATTATTAGAGTGAATTTGGAGCTCCCAACCTGCTGTCCACGGGGACATAGGGATTACCTAGGCCTCTGGCAGGGGCCCAAACCTTTCCCACATTCCATGCCAAGGCTAAGAACAAGGATCGTCCCTGGGCCACAACATATGGACACGGGATTGTCCACTTCCAGCCTTTAGCCCTCAGCACCCTCCCCCCAGCCACTGGAAGCACACTTGCCTTCCAGTGTCTGGGATTTATAGTAGTGCTATTCAAACCGTGGTCCATAGACTGGGCAGCATCAGTATCCCCTGGGAGCTTGTTAGAGGGGCAGATTCATGGACCCCACCCCAAACACTAAATCAGAATCACCAGATCTGTGGCTTAATAAATTCTCCAGGTGATTCGTATGCACACTAAAGTTGAAGAACCATTGGCTTGGAGTAAGTACCTGGGTCATCCCACACCCCTGTCTGATTATATACCTCAGGCCTGTCCAAGATTCCAGGAACTTCTACCCACAGACTTCTTTGGACTCCTTCAAGCCTTCACATATCTAAATTAATTACAGTGATTCCAATGGATTGTTTAATATTACTACATAGCACAATTCCACTGCAGTTATGTCAATAGCGACCCCTGGAGGAGCGCAGTGCAATGCCCTGCGAGCTCTTCCTGTGGACTTTATAACCCTTTATTATCCCCATATTACATCTGAAGAAACGGAGGTTCAGAGAGGGGACATGACTGGCCCGAAGTCACACAGCAAATAAACCCAGAGCCTAACTACTCTACCATTCTACTTCCTGCTCAGTGGAGGGGATGGCAGATGTCTGTCCCCTCACACACACAGGGATTTCCTGCAGGGCCAAAACCTTGTCATCACTTCCTCAGGAAAGCATCCCTGACCTCTCAGAGAAGGCCAGGCCTCCTCATTATACCCCACTGAAGGTCCCTGCCTTTTCTTAATAGAGGCATCACAGTTTGTATTCATAGAACAATGTGATTATTTCATGTCTGTTTCCCTGACTGGTATCCAGTAAGACAGGAAGTGGAGCAGACCTGCTAGATGCTTGCCCAATCGCCATTCTTTTTCTTATACAGCAAGCCCTGGAGTAATGTTTTGCTTGGTGAGAGGTTTAGGAACTTAAATCTTGTTTATATCAATTAGTCTATGGTAAAATTGCTTTCATCACGTCATTTCGCTTCCAGTCGCAGAACCTATTGACAACATTAAGTGAGGACTTAGTGTAGAACCTGACTTTATTTGTGGTAGCTGCGTACCTGGCTAAATCACTATAACCCCCCATGTCCCTTGCAGTTAAAGGTACCAGGTTCTGGCTTCTGAGGTCTGTGAAGAATGGCTGGGTATCTAGTAGGTGTTCAATAAATGCATGTTGAATGCAGGGAAGTTCAGGCAGTACTGTATGTGCAGTTGGTACTCAGGAAACATGTCATCTAACCAGACCCCCACGGCAGCCATGATCTTGGAAATCTTTTTATTGGTTCTGAGATAACAAGGCAGAGGCGAGCTGGGATGGGCACAGAGCTAAGGAGGGCAGCAAGAGGCTTTGCCCCAGGGCAGACATGCTATGTGGGATCTGCTGGCGGGCTCCCTGGCCCACCCAGCCAGCAGTGGCTGGGCACATGGCACTTGGCGCCTTGCATGACCTCTGCGGGCTTGGCACTGTGGCCTCCTTGTCGGCGGGCGCCCCCCTTTCCAGTTGCAGGAGTTGTGAGTCTTTCACAGTGCGGAGGGGTGGGGGTCCGGGGTGGGCACCTCCCCGGGGTGCAGGCAGGCCCCATTCGCCAGTATATCCTGGGCTCTCGGCAGCGACAGCGGCGGCAGGGTGAGGTCCGCTCCTCTTCTCCCCACCTGGGGGAGCTTGGCAGTCCTGGAGGGGCCCTGGCAGCCTCAGCGGGACATCATCCGGACAAACTCTGGAGAGTACAGCAGAGGGTGGGGAGAAAGCAGCTGTCAGTGCCCAGCTAGGACGCTGCCTCCAAACCTCCCTCAGATCTGTGTCCCCCTCTCCATTGCCACTGCTCCTGACTCCATGATGGTCCCCCACATCCGTGCGGCTTCTTCCAGTCCATCTTGCACAGCAGCAAGCTCCAACTTTCTAAGCTGCATGTCTGACCCCCTTCTTAAACCTCTCACGGATCCCCACGGACAATGTCCCATATCTTGACATGACCTCGGGGCCCTCCCTGTTCTGGTCCCAGCTGGCATCTCCAGCCTCATCCCTCCCCACTCACCCCTGGTCTCATGCTCCAACTACACAGCTCTCTCTCTCTTTCAGCACCTTTGGAGCCACGGGCTCCCTCTCACCCCTTCTCACCTCGCAGCTTTCCTGCAACTTGTCCCCTCTCCCTTCCTTTTTTCAAACTAGACTTGATTTTTTTAGAGCAGTTTTAGGTTCACAGCAACATTAAGCAGAAAGTGCGGAGATTCCCATAGACTCCCTGCCTCCACACAGGCACAACCTCCACTGTATCAGCACCCGCCGGAGGGGGACAACTGTTACAGCTGATGACCCGACACTGACTCGTCACTGTCACCCCAAGTCCAGTTTACATGAGGGCTCCCTCGGGGTGGCGTCCATCCTGTGGGGTTTGACAAGTGTATAATGTTTCCGCCATTACTGTCCCGTACAGGGCACTGCCCTAAAAGTCCTCTGTGCTCTCTGTCCCTCCCTCCCTCCCTGCACGGCCCCCAGCGACCACTGGTCTTTATTCTGTCTCCAGCATTTTGCCTGTTTCAGCATGTCATGTGGTGGGAGTCACGCAGTAGGTGGCCTTTCCAGACGGGCTTCTTTCACTCAGTGCTATGAGTTTAGGTTTCCTCCGGATCTTCTCACAGCCTGATAGCTCGTTTCTTCTTAGCTCTGAATAACATTCCACTGTCTGGATAGACCACAGTTTATTTATCCATTCATGTACTAAAGTAACCATTTTGGTTACTTCCAGGTCTGGGCAATTATGAATAAAACTGTTATAAACATCCATGTGCAGGTTTCATTTAGATACATATTTCCTTCTTCTTTTTCACCTGGTAGCTCCTTCTCATTTCTTAGGGCTCTATTTATTTACAGCCTCCTCCAGAAAGCCTTCCCTAATCCCCCTCCAGCCTGGCACAGGTGCCCCCTCTGTACTCCACATCCCGCTATACTTCCCTCAAAACAGCATGAACTGTACTGTTGGCTTCTGTTTTCCTTGCTGATCTCAGGTTCCTTGAGGTGGCGGTCAGGTCTCAGCACACAGAGGGGTACAGTACATGCTGATAGAATAAATGGGGGGTGCTGGGCTTTCAGGGAAGGGCGGTCATCTGTGGGGGCACATACCTGGCCACAGGACATCCTGAGATGTTCAGATCTGGTGGTAGCAAAGCCTTCTTTCCATCTAGCCACACTACTCAACCTTGAAGAACAACTACTCCCCATAAAAGGCCTCCCAACCTTTGTGTTCTGGACACACAGTTTGACACACAGTTATCCTGCCTTTCTGCTTAGAACTCAAGTATCTGGAGTACAAAGTCATTGTGTTACTGTATTTTCCCCCTGTATCTCATAGTGTTGCAAATGGTGTCGCGCACAGTGCTACGTGGGGTTGAGATTCCGGGCCTGGATTTATGACACAGCCCTGACTCTTACTAGTTAGGCAATCTCCAGCAAGTTATATTACTTCTCTGAGCCTCAGTTTCCTCATCTCATGAGGTAATAACAGTGCAATCCATAGAGTCATTGTGACATTTGAGTGAGATAAAATATGTAAAGCTACTCAGTATAGTGACTGGTACATAATACGTTTACAATAAATGATAACTATTATGATTATTACTGATTCCTTAAAAAAAAAAAAAACTTTCATGGAGCATTAGCTATGTGCCAGGTACTGAGTTATGTGGAAAATGCAGAGATAAAGAAAATGAGGTTCCTCTTTCGAAAAAATTCAGAGTCAAGCAGAGAGACAATGATAAGTAGCAGTTAGTGGACAGTGTGAAGAACAAAGGTGACCCTGAGGTGCTGCGAGGCCCAGAAAAGAGGAAGTTCCATCTGGAGAATCAGGGATGAAGGGCTGAACGAAGTGTCCCACGACTGGATCTTGAAGGATGAATAGAATTGAGCCCAAGTGAACAATAAACGAAAAGACATCCTGATCAAAAGAACAGTGTGTTCAAACGGGAGCCTAGCAGGTTCATGGACCACAAGTACTTCAGGGAGGCTGTAGGTGCGATGGAAGTGAAGGAACGGTCGGAGCTGCAGCTGGGGAGGCGAGCAATGGTCCGATTAGGGGCCTGAGTATCAGTTTGAGAAATGTGGCATTCCGAAAATATCTTCCATGGCTGGAGAAACATGGACAGACAGGTGGATAGAGACGGATGGGGGAAGACAGACACAGGGATGGATGAGTAGATGGATACTGATGGGGAAATGACTAGATAGATAGATAGATAGATAGATAGATAGATAGATAGATAGATAGATAGATAGATGATAGATAAATTAGAAATAGAGGCAGATGGTTAGAGACATAAATATGTGAATGAAATGTAGAGACAGACAGAAGCAGAGAGAGATGTACATAGGTAGATGGGTGCATGGATGAATGCATGGGTGAATTATAAAAGAATGAGTAGATGCATGGGTGGATAGATAAGTGCATGGTTCTATGGATAACTGTTTGGAAATGGACGCGTGGATAAATAGGCACCTGGACAGACGAAGAGATGGATGTATGAATAGATGGAATGGATGGATGGATATAGACATGGGAGACAAGATTAGAGTGTTGCATGGATGGAAGACTGGCAGGATGGAAGAGTAGGGGATGGAAAACTGGGAGTGGATTGATGGTTGCATGATAGATATAGGTTGGAGGGCTCCATGCACGGCCACTTTCTCTCCCACTTTCAAGCCCCACCTACCTTCAAAGTCCACTCGGCCATCCCCATTGAGGTCCACGTCTCGGATAATTTCCTCTATGTCTCGGTGTCCCACCTGATGACCCAGGAGTTTCCTCATGGCTTCTCGTAACTCACTGGTGCTTATCTCCCCATCACCATTGGTGTCAAACTAGAGAGGGCAGGAAGGAGGGAGGGGTAGCTACAACATGGAGACTGTGGAAAACAGATCTGAAGGTTGAGCTCCTTCTCCAGAGTCACTGTCCCCCTCCCCCCAGAGACCCTTCTCCGTCCAAGTACCTTCCCTGGTCCGGGACCCTGGGTTCAGGTTTCTTTCAAGTTGCCATCCTGGGGTTGGGATTCTCACAACCTACCCACCCCTGCCTGTCCACTGCCCATCACTCACCTCTCGGAAAGCATCTCGCAGTTCCTTTACCCCAATCATATCTGCCGTCTCTGCCAGGAGTTTAGGTCCCATTAGCTCCACAAAGTCATCAAAATCCACATGGCCACCCACTGGGGACAAAGGAAAGAGCTGGGTCATCTATCTAACCATTCCCCTCCTCCAACTAGGCAAAGGAGGGCACTACCAACCCCTCCCTCACCTGCCCAGAGCCAAATCCAAAGTTTAACCAAAAGCCAAATGATGGCAGAGAGCTGACCATGGACAGGTGGTTTGTCAAAGAATGGCTCAGGGAAGTGGCCAGGGGTTGACAAAGGGAACAAGTCAGGAAGTGGACAGAGGTGGATATGGATGAGAAAAAGAAACATTCGGTCACAGAAACAGGCAAAGCAAAGAATTTCAAGACAGAGACAGAGAGGGAGGCAGAGAGGGAGGCACTATAGTAGGTACAAGTGTCAGAGACCTGACACCCAACGTGGCCTGCTCACGACAGCTTCCCACCAGTGACTGACAGGTCAGGGATACATGCCCAGGTGAGGGCTGGGGATAGCTCTGAGGTGGGCTGCTACACTAACTCCGGAGCTCGCCAGCAGAACTAGACTGGTCGGTGGTAGCTGGCTTGAGAATGCACCCTCGGCTGGCTCCTTCTCTTCCCTCTCACTTCCCTATTCCCCACCTACGTGCACTTTCAAATTCTCCTCTCGGGCTTGCTTCTGGGAGAACCCAGACTGAGAGGAGGACATGGTAATAATAGCATTTCTCCATTCCACTCTCGCTGTGTGTCAGCACTGGGCTGTTTTAAACGTATTCCCTAATTGATTTCCTGTGCTTCACTCCCCCTGCTCCTCCCCTCATTTTCCAGGTGAGGAAATGGAGGCTCAGGGAGGGTAAGTGGTTTTCCCCAGGTCACAAAGCTGGAAAGAGGAGGGCCCAGAATTTGAACCCAGGACAGTCTCACTGCAAAGGATTGCAAAGGCGAGGACAGGAAGGGAAGGAGGTGCCCGGTAGCGGGACTCACGGTTCATGTTGATCTGCTGGGACAGCTCGATGAGCTCCATCTCGGTGGGCATGTAGCCCATGGTGCGCATGCAGTTGCCCAAGTCCCGGCAGTTGATGTAGCCATCCTTGTCTTTGTCAAATTCTCGGAAGGCCTCTCGGAGCTCTGGGGAAGGTAACAAAGGTGGACATGGTTACGGGTGGGACCTGCTGAGCTTCTGGGGCCAAAGGCAGCCGTCGGGCCCACCAGCCCAGAGAGCCAGGCCCGGGAGCTGCCCAATACTGTGCACTCCTCCAAACCCTTGCCCCACAGAGAATGCCCGGCTCCATACCAGGCCCTGCCCTCAGAGACCAGGGGCTCTCTGCCTCTCTCCCACCAACCTCCCTTCCCTCAGCTTCCTGGATGGCTGAGTCCCCCTTGCCCCTAAGAGGCCAGGTCTTACCTTCGATTTCCTCTGGCCGCAGTGATCTGTCCTGAAACAAAAGAATGTGTCCTATTAGCAGCTGTGAGGGGCCCGAAGTCACAAAACGCCCAACCTGAGGGCCATGCACGTAAATGGCAGCAGGCACTGGGTGGGAGGTGACGGGGCTGCAGCAGAGCATGCCTGGACCACGTCCTTGAGGGGAAAATGTGCACCCCCACATCTCCCATCATCATGGCAGATGCCCAGAGACCCAAGAGCCCCAGCTAGACTGTGCCCAGCCCCTTGCTCCAGACACAAGAATGCATCAGAGAACAGAGCTGGTCCAGAGGCAAAAACCTGTAAATGAAACAGGGTCAGCGGGAGGTCACAACAGAGAGGAGGCCTGCAAGGTAATGGGATGAGGGGCTGGAAGGGAGCGAAAGCAGGGACTGGACAGGCAGCCCAAGAGGGAGGAGGAGAAGGGGGACCTGAGGGTGTGGAGGGAAGGATTAGGGCTGTGCCCTGCTTCCTGGGCACTGCTCTACCTTCTCCAATTTGACCCCCATCCTACGCCCGGCCCTGTCACAGGACACAGCATAGGAGCCTGGGGGCTGCCAGTGTCTCTGGCTGCCGCCGGGCTCAAAAGTACACATGTCAAGCCTCGAGCAGTGCCCAGGTCTCCTTGGGAATTAGGAAACCCTGGGGATAGGCATCACAACAGATGGCAGCAGAAGTCGCTAAAGAACAGGCCCAGAGGATGCATGCGGCAGCTCCAGCTGGTGAGGGGCCAGTTGCCCCAGACTTGCCCAGGAGGGACATAGACTGGCATGAAATGGATGTGGCTGCCCATCTGGACCTGCTTAGTAAGCTCCCAAACTGGTCCACGAGGCTCCTCCCCAAGTGGCACAGTTCTCTGCCTTTGGGAAGGGAGAACATGGGGCAGGTGCGCCTGCTCTGAGGAAGCACACGCCAGGTATAGGCACACCTGTCACGAACAGACACGCAGGTGTGCCACTGTGAACGTGAGGCATCTCAGCTGTGCACACAGGCTGTTTTAGCCAACAGAGCCAGGGTGGGCAGACAGCTGCTACCCACCCACTCCAAACTGGCCCCAGGGCAAAGGACCCTGGGCTCTGGAAAATCTGAGACTCTTCTAGAAAGGGGCTACTAAGCAATATTTGTGGGACAGCTGGTGCACAGGACCTGGTGCTCAGAAGTGTGATATGTGGCAGGACAGCGTTGAGTGTGTGTGTGTGCCTGGAACAAGCAGGCTGCAAGCTACCAGGCCTTGTTGGTGGCATTTCTAGCTGTCGGTGGGATTCATTGAAGGTATGCATGTCCGCTAGATGACTGTATGTGCTTCCACTTAAAAAGTCTGGCCCTGGCCGGTCTGGCTCAGCGGTTAGAGCGTCGGCCTGAGGTCCAGAGAGACCCAAGTTCGGTTCCCGCTAAGGGCACGTACCTCGGTTGCAGTTTGTCCCCGGCCCTGGTTGGTCATGCGGGTGGCAGCCACTCAATGTGTCTCTTTCACGTCGATGTTTCTCTCTCTCTCTCTCTCTCTCTCTCTCTCTCTCTCTCCCTCTCTCTCTCTCTCTCTCTCTCTCTCCCTCCCTCCCTCCCTCCCACTCTATCTGAACAAAAAATGGAAAAATGTCCTCTGGTGAGCATAAAAAAAAAGTCTGGTGTGGCCCTGGCCAGTGTGGCTCAGTTGGTTGAGTACCATCCTGTGCACCAAAAGATTGCCAGTTCAATTCCCCATCAGGGCACATGCCCAGGTTATGGGCTCAATACCCGGCAGGGAGGCATGCAGGAGGCAGTGGGTCAATGTTTATTTCTCACATCGATGTTTCTCTCTCTCTCTCCTTCTCTCTTCCTCTCTAAAAAAAAAATCAATAAAAATATATATTTTTAAAAATACTACATTTAAAATAAAAGCCCATCATGGTACATAGTACGTGGGCTGTCACTCCATCACCTACCTATTCCTATCACCCACTAGTGGTTTCAAGTTAGAATTGGTGTTTATTTAGGTAACCGAAAAAGATGTTTTTGGTAGTGCCTCCCCCCGCCCCTGTAAGTGGAAGCGAGCAAGGCTGTGCACGTACACATGCAGGGTACACTCGCTGGGACAAGTCACTTAGATAAACCAGCCCTCCTCCTGTTCAGGTTCAAGCAGCCCCCTTTTCTCCAGGACCCGGCTCTGACAGACTGGAGAGAAATGACGTGCTGCTGACTCCTACTGCAGCCTCGGCGCACATCTTGTATAGATGGCGCCAGGGAGCAGGAAAACCAGGTGCCCCTTTGCATGGGCCTGTGTTCTGGCTGAGACCTGGTGGCTGGTGCTTGGGTCACACACTCTCCCGTGCAGAAAGGTGGGGCATGTGTGCTGTGCTCTGAAGTAGAGCCAGAGATGCCCACCCATGTGGCAGGAAGACCGTGAGCAGTGTGGGGGAAGTCAGGTGCGAATGGAGCACATACTCCTTTCTCCCCAATGCAGGTGGCGGGGAGAAGGGCTTGGCCTCTAGGGTCAGCCAGACTCAGGCGCAAAGCTCGTATCTGCTGCTTCCTAGCTTTGGGACCTTGAGCAGTTCACGTCTGTGAGCCACAGTCTCATCTGTAAAACAGGTTAATACCAGGACCCACCTTACAGGGTCTTTGTGAGCATACCGTGAGTCAAGATACGTAAAGAGTTTAGCACATGGCATTCAATAAATGGAACCTACAGACATTTGTATCTGTGACACCTTGATTGTTCCCCTCCTCCCCATGGCTGTTCAGACACCTGTAGGATGCTATCCAATACAGTAACCACAAGTGGCTATTTAAATCGGAATGGGACTTAAACAGAATTAATCACTCAGTTCCTCAGTTGCACTAGTCACATGTCAAGTGCTCAATAGCCCCATGTGGCTAGTGGCCACTATATTGGCCAGTGCAGATTATAGAAAGTTTCCATCCTGGCAGGAAATTCTACTGGACAGTGCTGTCTACTCAGTACTGTTGTTCAGAGCACCCGAGGCCCCTGCGTCCGACTCCCAGAGTCTGAATCCTACCTCCATCACTCACAAGCTGTTACCTTGAGTAGCTTACTTCTCCAACTGTTTCCTCATCTGCAAAATGGCAATAATTGTACCTACCTCTTAGAGTTGCTCTGAGTCTTAAATGAGGCAATGTATCAAAGTTCTTAGCACAGTGCCCAGCACACAGTAAGTGCTCAAAAAAAATCCCCAAACAATATTAGCTGCTGTTATCATTTCTTGCTGCTGGAGGTGGACTCACCAGTGTTTGCAGCCACGAGTGAGAAACTTTAGGGGTCAGATTCACAAGTTGAGGGTTTGAGGTGTGTCTGCTGGGGGACACATGCTTCTGTGGAGAGCCCCTCTTCTTCCCAGCACCACCTCATGCCCCATGAAGCCAAGTCGAGCGCGGCTCCACTGGGGCCAACTTACGTACAGGCTGCCTGTTCTCGGCGAAGCCCTTGCGCAGGAAAATGCAGGCAGGGCCCAGCAGGTTATGCATGACGGCGCAGTTCTGGGCCAGCATCAGGAGCGGTCCAGGGAGCTCGCCGCTGGCTGCCAGCCCCTCCTCGCTCGTCTGCACCACCTTGTAGCTGGTTGTCTCCTCCTGGCGCATCTTCAGCCAGCACCAAGCAAATACAAGAGAGAGGCAGGCGTCACCTCCCTGCCCAACCAGGCCCTCCTGGCCCTATCCTGGCTCTTGGTCCTAGAAGTGGCTCTCCTCAAGAGCAGACCTTTGAGAGCCCGACAGCAGGGTTTGGAGAGCCCCCAGAACGCACAAGGCAGGCATCAAATTGGTCCAACAGACGAAGTCTCCGATCCTTGACTGAAACAGATGCTCCAGGGAGAGCTGGGTGTGGTACCATGATGTGGTTCATGTGCGTGGATACACACACACACACACACACACACGACACACACATGCAGAGAATCACACTCGTGTGCATGCAGGGAAGTTTTCATTAAGATATCAATGGAATAACATCCTTTTCCAACATTGTCCCAAAGTCCCAGCGTACTCCCTAGAGCCAAGTTCCCAAACTGACTTCTGACCTTCTGACCTACGCCTACTGGATCCCCACTAGAAGGCAGTGAGGACAGTCAGAACGGGCCATGTGGAGAGCAGGCTCGGCTGGACTGGAAGTGGCGAACACAGGGGCCATAGCCGAAGTGACTGACTTGGGCAGGTGTGCGAGGTGGGGGCGGGGGCTAACTGGATGCTACGTGTCCCCACTGAAGGAGCAGCACTACAGAACTCCAGCCCAGTGCTGCCAGACCTTCCGGTGGGCGACACGAAGCATGTCTGTGGGTCGGATCCCACCCAGTCTGTGGCTTCAAGACTAGACGCTCTTTAACCAGCAAGCCTCCCTTCCCCCTCCCGCCTTCTCTGGCTCCGTGCCTGGCCCAGCCTGCCGACCTCTGGAGGCTGAGGCAGGGGCCCTCTCCGCTTACCGAATATAGCTGTGCTCCCAGGCCCTGGCCAACCCATCCTCCTCCCTGATGGTTCCCATGCAGCTATAAAAAGTCAGCACTGCCCACAGACCGTCCCCTTAGGACAACAGCAGCATCCAGACACAACATTCTATTCTACCCGGCCTCCCCAGGATGCCCAGGGCCCCCCCACAGTCCAGAGCTGCATACCCCACCCTTTCATCTTGCTGCACCCTTCTTCCCATAGCTCAAAGGTCACACCCGGGAGAGGATCCTAACCTAGGGGCAGCCTGTCCTCCTGGGCTGCAAAGCAGAACAATCTGCCCCGTCTCACCCTGTCCTCTCATGTATCTTCTCCCCAAAGTCCCACACTGAGGGGCTACAGACTGGTCTCCCCTTCAGCTTCCTAAGCCTCTTCCAGGCCTAGAGGGGGAGAAACAGTATGCTGGTTCCTCAAAGGGGCAGCAGCAGCTCAGATCTGAGGTGAAGGACCTTGGTCCAAGGCCCAAGGTCAGTGAGTGCAGCAAGGGTCAGTCTGAGGTCATCTCAGAACGTAAGCGGTGTCAGACGGACCAATGGCCATTCTGATTTGAGGCCAAATGAGGTTTGGAGCCCTAGCCAC